GAGACCAAGGAGATCAGCTGGGAGCAGGTAGGGGACGCGGGGCGGGGCGTGAGCGCATGAACAGGCTGTGCACGACGCATGGATGCTCCTCCTCCGAGCCCTGCCCCTGTCCTCACCAGAACATGCCATCATCCCCATGGGGGGGTGCTGTGCCAAGCTTGGCTCTGGACTGTTCCATTATGGCTTGGTGGTGGGGAGGGTAGAGGGGATGCGATGTGGAAGCCCAGACTGTTGCATAGTCAGCCTTATGCATGGACCATTTCATCATCGTGGATTGTGGGGACTCTAAGGGGCTTCAATTCTGTAGCTTAGGAGAGACGCTGAGCAGCCGGTGTCCCTATAGTGGAGGGGGCCGGGCCTACAATGGACTGCTCAGTGTACCAGGGCCAAAGGGGAAGATGGGCTGTGGTTGGTGGTGAGGGTAGCCAGGCTGAAAAGAATTGGGGAGGAAGTAGCTACCATTTTGTTCTCACAAGAAACAAGAGCAGGCAGGCGACAGTGGTTCACGGCGTGAATCCCAGCACTTTTGTGGAGGCTGTAAGGCAGGCCAGAATCACCTGAGGTCAGGAGTTTGAGACCAGCCTGGCACATGGTGAAAACCCTGTGCTCGACTCAAAATACAAACAAAATTAGCCGGCACAGGGCTAAGCGCCCTGTAATTCCCAGCTACTTGGGAGGCTGAATGGGACCAGGAAAATCGCTTGAACAGGAGGGGGAGGTTGCAGTGAGCCGAGATATGCACCACTGCACGCCGCCATGGGTGACAGGTGAGGTACCTCCTCTCATAAAAACCAAACAACTAAACACAACAAAAAAATCAAGAGGTATGCAGCTGACTTGTCAGGAGAATTAGTTGACTGTGGTCATAGATCACATAGTCCAGCCATGGGGAGGTTGTGGATTGTGCTGATGCTGGAAAAGGAGTTGGAGGACTATTGGGGCTCATCCTGGAATATTGTCCCTGGGCCAGATATACATTAGACAAGTATTTTCAGGACATTGCAAGATGTGATGGCCCGTTTTCTAGTGGGAGCTGCCCTTGAAAGAATTCATTGTGGCTGACTTGGGGGTGTAGTGACGTTTGGACTTGCAGTGAGAGCAAAGGTTAAAGCAGTGGCTTCCCCAAAATTAAATGGGTAGTGGGGTGGGCACGCACCTGGTAGTCCCAGACTTACTGGAATACTGAGGACTGAGGGATCGCTTGAGCCCAAGAAGCCAAGGTCAACCTGGGCCAACATAGTAAGACCCTGTCTCTAAAAAAAAA